CTAGTCCTCCAGCTCCTCAGGATATTGGTTTCCTACACATGTGCCCACTGTGTTTTCAGGCCAGCCTGGAGAGCTGAACCTGCAGTCACCATACGGTTTCCAGTCTTGCAGGATACTTGCATTACTGCTATACCACAGACAAGCTCATTAATTTTAATCCAACTTCTCTGTCACAGCATGATCAGTTTTTAAAATCCTTTCTTTCATTTATTTTTACAAACCAAAATTCTGATCAATTCTTATTTATAACCTGTTTAAGAAAATACTAAAGTGTATAAAAGTTAATTTGATATCTTCCTATCCAACTCCAAGTTGACCTATTATCTTACATTTTATTAGTATCATAGCAAACATTTCTGTATATCTCTCTTATATGGGGAAAGTCAAGGCTAGTTATTTTTGTTGGCCTTCTGGTGAACCTGGGTTTCATAGTTTCAAAATGCTTACTAAAAAAATATTATTAAAGTTGTGATTTATCACCCTGACATGAATTTATTGGGAAGTCTAGTGTCTAGCACCCCATATTCAATTTTCATCAGCCAGGCAGCAAATGGAAACAGAAAAGGATGTAAAATGTTAATACTATAAATATTTCTTTGTAAAATCATAACTTCTCATGTTTACACAGAATTGTGAGTATCCTATAGCTCTAACAATGCCTGCAACTCAGTATTTTTTTTCTTCATGGAGAATCTATCACGTTCCAAACTTTGTCACTGTCACATAGTGCTCTTAACGTGGATGCCTATTTATTTTTGGAGCCACAGTATCCAGTACAAACACATCAAAAAAAGTAGACTGGAAATGTGGGCTCCAAAGGAGAGATTAATTCTGTTCACTGTGGTTGGACATGAATGGGGTTGTTACAGAATGTGTGCTCAAGGAAACTGCGTGAGGACAGTTTTAAAGGAATAGGAGGATCTGTCAGGAAAACATCTGTGTTCCAGGTTAAAAAAAAAAAAGTAATATGCTCAAAATCACAGAGGGGTAAAAGGGCATGTGTGACATTCTCAAAAAGTTGATGGAAAATGCTTATAAAAGAACTATGCATGGCTTTTGGGGGGGCAATAAACTTGTACTTTAAATTTCTATGAACACGTCAGAAAGGCGTTTGAGGGTAAAACTAGAGGATCAAGTGATAAATCAAAGAGGGGGGAGAAAAATACAGATGAAAGATCATCTATCCCTCACAAAGGAGCTTGAAAGCAAATTCTGGAGATAGGATGAAGTCAAAGAGAAGTTTGACACATCTGAGGGATCCTGGATTTGCACTTTAGAATGCTTTCTTTGGTAGCACTCTCCTGCAGATGGAATGGAAAACAGATCAGTCTAGAGCCCGGCAGACTACTTTAGGGCATTCCATAGAGGTCAGTCTACAGAAATGCAGAACAGGAAGGACAAGACAAGATTGTTTTGAAAGGGCATGCTTAGAACATCTACCAGAGTCTCTATTCTAAAAAAGCTCAGTCCAGTGGGGAATTACCTGCACACAGCTGGAAAGATACTTCTTAGGAGCAGGAAAAAAAGACTATGTCTAGCCATAAAAATAGAGTAGAGTAAAAGGAGTCCTGCGGAACAACAGCATGTCAGTAGTCACTAGAAGAACAAGATCGAGTTTAAAAGACTAGTAATAGGGACCAGCAGATGGCATAATGGTTATGTTGCTGGACTTCTGTGTAGTTGACTACAATTTGAGTCCTTGACCCAGTGGGTCTGGGCATATGTGCACGTGCATACCCAAAATCCCAAGAGAAGAATGGAGGAGAAGGGACTGTAGCATGGCCATGCCCCCTGAGTGATTTCTTGCCTTCTCTCTGGCAAGTACACGTGCCCTATAGCAAAAAAGAAAAAAAAAAAAAAAAAAAAAAAAAACTAACGACGCTTGATAGGGACTAGCCCCATGGCACCATGGCATAGTGGTTAAGGGAGCTGTATCCCAAATGGTCAAGGTTGACCACAGTTCAAATCCCAGTCCCAGCAGCTTGAAAAACATGTCAAGCATGGGTGCATCCATGCCCCAAATCCCAGTGGGATAGAGAAATGGAGGAGAAGGGATTGTGGCATGACCGTGCACCATTGGAGGTGCTTTTTCCCCTCTCTTCTTTCTCTGGCAAGCAGATGTGCCCTCTTGCACTTAAAAACAGACAAATGAACAGAAAAGCTGGTCATAGGTAGCAACACTCCGGAGGCTGGCAGGTAGCAATATCCTGCCAGGGTGTAGTGAAAACCCAAGTGCTTCACTTCCCTAGCTGAACCTGGGTTAACCCTCCTTGGGGCCTAAACTGACCTTGGTGGAAAGGTTTAAAATAGTATTCAAGTTTTTCTTTTAAGAAACTCCACAGCACAAATATCTAATTTCTTTTCGAAAACAGGTATTTCTAAAAGTATCAATATGACAATCTCCAATCCTTGTTTTCTAGGTGTAACTTAGGAAATTTGTTTGAAAATCTGTATTGACATTTCCTTTTTTATTCTGTTGTTAGATGGATTTCATAAAATGCAAAGCGAACATGTTTCACTCTCATGTCAACTAGTACACCATTTTTTCCCACCAAGTCAAGATTTTAATGTTACTTGGTCCAGAGTGGAAAGTGGGAATTCCTCTGTCCTGGCTAGCTATCCGAGCTCCTCACAGAATGCAGTTATCCGTGAACTTCGGTTCTCATGGAACAGAGAGCCTGTACAGCAGAGCGACTTCTCCATGACTTTGACAGATCTTAGCCCTTCTGATAGTGGGGAGTATTTATGCAATGTTTCTTCAAGGAAATACACTTTACTCACCATCCACACACTGTATGTAGGTAAGTTGTAAAAGTTGGATAATGGGTTTTTGCCATAGTGGCAGAGGTTTGTAAATACCCAACAGGAAACTAGTTGGCTTTTAAAACACACTTTACATTAGTACTTCTCAAAAGATCATCTTCAGGGATACTTTTGGTAAAGATGGTAGCCAACCCTGCCTCCTTCAGCCACATAAAGCTCTGTATGAAATGAATGAACAAATGAATGAATCTGCCATAAGACCTCCTTTTCAGGACTTTGGGGCTTCAGAAATTAAGAGGAACCTATACCATTTGATGGGTCTATGGGCTATGTTCAACTTCTACTCACAATTGTGCCTAAGACGTGCCTGAGGGCCTGGGTTTGGGACTTGAGGTGTGGGACAGAAGGAAGTTAGAATCGGGCCCCCTTGATGCTGGGGAAATGCAGCACTGTCTGTAAACTTGATAGAAATATTCTCCCCATGACATTTGAAACGCTAATTGTATGCCCAATTCAGCTCACTTCTGCCTCTGTTTGAAGTTCACTTCCAAAATTCATTATTCAGAATATTTCTGGCTAACTTGCCATAGTCACAGAACACGAGCTCATGCAGGTGGCTTTCTGGGTGAGCCGCCTGGTCCCCTACATTTAACCTGACCTCGTGGGACACCACAGCAGCTCTTTCTACCCCTTAATAAAGATCAAAGGGGCACGGACTGTGTTTGGGAAATATTTCTATCATTCCAACTGTGAGAATTAGACAGAATGACAGATTTGAAAGTTTGGCGATTCTATGTAGTGAGATTTGGAGATAAAACCACATAGTTGCCTTGGGTCATGTGGTCTTCAAAAAGATAGAATCTTCTAGATACTGACAGATAACACTCCCTTTGTAGAGCTGGCACACTGAGACTATAGAATGAAAAAATAGCAATGCATTTGAAACCCCCATTTTCCTCCAAAAAGTGCTAGTTTTATGTAAAATACAGTTGAGCCTGCAGCCTGCAGTCTATTTTTCAAATGTTGCCTCATGTTAGATTCATTTTGGAGCATAGAGAAATAATCAAGAAGAAATGGTCTGAAGATCACATATGGCCCATTTTCCTACCGAGATCTAATTTTCAGTTCACACAAAGTGAAGCATTAGATCTATTCTATCTCGGGGGTGGCGGGGGGAGGGGGGAAGAAAAGGTTTTTTTGTTGTTATTTTCAGAACTTCTCTTTTCAAGTAAACCTGGCAAATTGGGATTGAGGGAGGGCCACACTTCCTCCCAGGAAGAGGCCTACAGCAGAAACCATCTTGGCAGGGCAGAAAATAAGGAAAATAGCCCTAGTATCCTACACATCACCCCTTCAAGTAAATTTGGCTCACTACTCTGAATTGTAATTTTCCATTTGCTTCCTTACCTGGGAGATGCTACATTTGAAAAAGAATCATGTTATAGGAATAGCGTATGAGTCCTGTAGTCTAGATTTTCTCAGTAAAGGTTGTACTGAACTGAATGGCATTAGATAATTCTTGCTAAAGTTTGCTGCTGAGTCAGTCTATAACCTTGGGCAAATCTCTTTACAGATGAGGTGGGGAGGGGGCAGAGGGTCAAGTGAGAAGCAGATATGCCTTGCAGGATTTTCTTCAGGAGAGGAAAAAAACACATATGAAAACACTTTGGAAAATCAATTTAACATTTCTTCTAAATCTTGACATGGGTATAGAATTTCACCGTGACACAAATAGGTGGAGAGATTGTATTGTTCATTGAAAAACATTATTAAGTAATAAGCATGTTCAAAAATCATGTTATATAATATTTATTTTAGGGAATAATTTATAAAAAAAAAAAAAGTTTTCCTCCATGGGACCAGCAGGTGGGTATGGTGGTTAAGGGCACTGGACTCCTACATGGCTGCTCGTGGTTTGGGTCCCAGACCTGGCTGTCTTGTTTCTCACTTTCCCCCTTTCTCACTCTGTCCATTTCTGATCAAATTAAGATGAATTAAATAAAGTTAAATAATGTTTCCAAAAAAGGTTTTCTCTCCCTGAATTAGCCTTTGTGCCCAATACTCCCATTCACCAGAAAACAGAAATCACATGAGTAACAGGGATTTGACTTTGGTAACCCGAAATCTCTAAATTTCTGCCTTCAGGAGTCCTCACTTCCTTTAATACTTATTATATTTCTAGTCCTGACCACATACTGGAAGTTCAGGTTCCTCCAGTCACTTTGGAGGAGCTCCAAACACTCTGTTATTCCAAGGGTCACCTGTGGCCTCTCACTTAACAATGACTCCTACATGGCGCCTCTCAGCACCTCCAAACTTTTCAATGTGTCCCTAGGGCATTGCACTCTTTCTTGGTCCTCCAAGAACACTGGGCTGAGGGCAGTTTACAGTTACAATGAACCCTATTTATAAAAGCGTGTTAATTTCCTCATTATAATATAAAGCAATAGAAACTTAAAACCTATAATAGATGCACTGCCTCCTAAGTTTTCAGAGTCCTTTCTCTCCCAAGCCCACTCCCATGCAGCCCAAACTGGTTAATATTACAACATCTACAGGCTTCTCTCAATAGAGACTCTGAGACTGGGAGATGCTTATGCTCATGACAACTCTCCATTCTGGACCAGACTCTTGGCTTTACCTTTTAAAAGGACCTTTCCTTGTGCAGTGTTCTTGTATGAATTCTGCCTCCTGCCTTGAATGCAGAAATAGTTTTTAAAATAGTAAATATATTCTACCCCAACCGCCTACTTACATTTTTCTTATTTGCTAATTTTTTCTTCCAGTTCACAGACTTTATTTCTTTGTTTTATTTAGAACAGAGTCAAGCCGTCTGGAAAATTGTTGTTCCCATTTTGAGCGTGGTTGTTATAGCTCTGATTTTGATAACACTATGCCTTCAAGGTAAATCCAGGAACTTCGGGAATTCCAACACAGGTAATATGGAGAGTTGGGTCTCTAGCCCCAGGTAGTCCACATTATGTGTATTAAACATACATGGAAATTCATACCTACACCACTGCTGGGCATGTATATGAATCAAACTTTTCTGGACAGTCATTTGTAAAATTTATCTGAAATCTGGGACCAGCAGAAGGCATAATGGTCACGTCACTAGACTCCCACGTAGTTGACCACAGTTCGAGTCCTGGACCTGGCAGCTTAAAACTCATGCCAGGTGCATGTGCATCATGCCCAAGATCCCAAGAGGAGACTAGAGGAGAAGGGATTGTGGCATGGTCATTCCCCCGGGAGCTGATTTCTCGCTTTCTGTCTCCGTCTCTCCAGCAAGCACATGCACCCTGTAGCAAAAATTTCTTTTAAAAATATTATCTAAAATTCTCTAAAAATGCTTCTTAATTTCTAATTTCTACATTATATTCTAATACTAGAAATGTGAAATGTATTTCACGTGATGATCAGCAGCACACCAAGCTATATATAATCACATTCATTATAGCACACTGCCATTATTTCTAGCCCCCCTACCATTTTTAATAAATAATAGGAGAACCCATTAAGTTAACTGAACATCACATGTGCTTTTGTCTTAACAAAAAAATTTTTAAAAGAGAGAGAAATTCAATTTGGCATTAGACTGGTAAACAGAGTGATCTAATTGTCCTATATTGCAAAATAGAAAGAAATATGCCAATGCTTTAAAAAGCTGCCGTTGAAGTGACTATGTTCTTCCTGGTCCTCACACCTCACCTAAATACTTCTTTAAGTCCCTGAGCTTCACTGCTTCCTGCTCTGAGTTTAGCCTATGGTTGGTACTACTCAGAACTGCAGTGTTCTTATGGGCTATTTTATTTTAATCTTTGCTAAGTTTTTAATGCTAAGAAACTTTATGTAACAAACCTGTACAATTTATAGTCATTTTAAATTATGTCAGATGTAAGATGTCCTGGTCACAAGATTTAAAAAATACTTTCCTTTTGTGAACAGAATCTGAGCTGGAAGGAGTCTGGGAAAACTTTGATTTAGTTTAACTCTACAGTTTACCAATCAGGAAATGGATCCAGGAAGTTATAACTCAAGCGCTAAGTAGGAAAGTGAAACAGATTTCTGTGTGCTCTGGGACCTCCCAGCTAGCCAGTGTAGAGGCAGACCTAGGCCTGAGAAGCTCCCCTTATTCTATCAGCCTCCTGAGAAGTTCTGGTTGTCCTGGGAAGCAGGATAGAGCCCATGTTCTTCTTGCACTTTCCTCTGGTTGATATTTGCCTATTACCACTGCTCATGTTAGGGGATTTGGATTATAGCAGAAAGTGTTACTGAAGATGGGACATTAAGGGTGACAGTGAGTGGCAGCTTTACCACCGTGATTGTTTGTACTGATGGGCAGGCTAGTCCCTTTATTTGTTACAAACTGGCCAGAAACAGGAAGAGGTGGTGGGCCACAAGTCTAGCTTGTTCTTCAAGTGTACCCCCCGTCCTATATTCGTCATTGGATTAGGTTCAAATGAGGGGAGCAGAAGCCAAGTCCTCCTCAGGGATGACTGTTTAGTTTCTATATTGAACATGGGCCTAAGTCAGGTCTCGATGGAAAATGCCTGTCAGAGTCCAAACTGTAGAAAGGGGAACGCAAGATAGTGCACCCCTCCCCCCCAGAGCTAGAAGCACCTGACCCCAGCTACCTGTACTTGAAGGGACAAAGACAGTTCCCAGGGAGTCACCTAAAATTTGCTGGCTTGTAAGGAGTGTGACCTAACATCAAAGGACACAGCCAGATCAAGGTGGCCTTTCAGGGAAACAGCAGGGAGAATGAATACCTGATCTGATTCTCCCCTCTAGGAGCTAGAGGGAGCAGATACCCTGCCAGTCCAGGGAAGCTCCCCAGAGCAGGGCCCAGTGGATTCTCGTTCTGGAGGACCAGTCAATATTGGCCGCTTAAAATGTTCCCTGCTATACTGTCTCTACTGTAGAAGATAATGTACATGGGACTGTCTTTGCCTTGACTGATATGTACTCCCATTCGTGCTGGGGAAAAAGCATGTGTACACTGTAAAGCTGTACAGTGATTAAGTGTAAACTTTACAATGTGAAATAGTTTTTAAAAGTTCTATAATTCTGCAGATGAACTGAAAGTATATTTGGAGCTGTTTGACTAAGCCACAAAATTTTATCTACCTCTAGATCTCTGTAATTTCATAGGACTGTGGTTTATGTTTTATTTTTTAATCCATTGTCTGTTAGTTTTTTAATATGCCTTTAGACTAGCATATGTATACAAGGGCCAGATTTTAGCCAAGCCCAGAAGAAGGCTTTCCCTTCTCGGACGTCTCTTCTTTGTTAGGAGTTGTCAGAACCTGGCCAACAATCCTAAAGAGACAGAGATTGCTGGCCCAGCTAAACTGCCTTTATTCCTTCCTTGGAGCACCTGAATCAACCATAAGAATTTACTGCTCCTTCTGATGATGTGTTTTTACATCAAATGCATTTTTTATGCTATTTGTTGAAAGATAGACGTGAAGGCCAGAGTAACAAAAGTGATTCTAATAACACAATTATGCTGAGATGGGAATAGGGAAATTTGAGTGTTCACAAACGATTTTTTCTTAAAGTTTGTCCTCTTTCTTCCTGTAGACCACCTTCCTGACCCTACCAATGAGAAAGCTAGCAGGACTGGTAATGTGGATGAAAATATGGTAAGGCATCGTTTCCGCTACCAAACCACGTATAGTATAAAAATGCTACTGTAAAAAGGTAATTGAAGTTTTGACTGATTCACATATCAGCATGTAGGGCTTTTATGGAGAAATAAAAGCAGGAGGGATTACAGAATCATATAGCAGGGAAAAAATACAAGTACACTTTTCCCAATGTCTATAATTAAACAGCCTTTACTTGCTTGAATTGATGGTTGCTCTTCCCATGTCCTGTGGTTATTTGTAAGAGGATCTCAGAGGCACTGTGCATGTGAGAGGGCGACAGTGTACTGACTCTCCAGGCAGAAGCATGAAACATGGGCCTGGAGAGAAGTGGAAAGAAGCACAGACACAGATACAATGGAGGAAAGCAGATCATAGCTTCTGCCCAAAGTCAGACTGCTGACTTTCTATACTTTCCCAACCACGTCTAGGCTCTTCAGGGAATGATAACTCACAAATTAAAGTTGGCCTATCTCCTTTTTGCCACATACCTTTTATTATTTGTCTGTTCTATTAATCAGAATATGAATAAGGACCAGGAGTGGTGTAAACTTGTATTTCTACTGTTAAAAACTCAAGAACATCTAGCAGGGAGATTAAAATGGATGACTTCATAGTTACTTATTTTATAATTGTCTCACAGACTTTAAATTACCCATGTAAGCAACAGCCTAAAGTTCATCATACCCTGCCCCCCCAAAGGAAAAAAAAAGAAAAATACTACTGCTACCATTAAATATTTAAAGGTGGTTATTCTGGGCTTGGTAGTTAAAGTGACTGGATACCACGCAGCCAACCATGAGTGAGTTTCCAGTCTTGTACCAGGCACATGTGTGTGTGCGCCCAAGACCCCAGAAGGAGGAGGGAATAGAGAAGGGATGCAGCATGGCCATTCCCCACAGGCGGTGCAGTCTTGGTCTCTCCCTGTCTATCTCCAACCAGTGTACATGTCCTCTGGCACTTTATTTATTTAGTGGTTATTCTGACTTGAACAATAGACCCTTAGAGTCCATTTTTCTTGATTCTAGCCTCTTACGAACACCGGGCAGGGTGGAAAATAAAGGCAAACTGTGACAACACATGATGAGCATCCAGGACTCCAGGATTCCTCTCCCCACCCTTCATTGGATGCAGCCAGTGACGTCAGATCTGACAGTTCCACCACTGCAAAGGCTTATAACCAGTTTTACATTCACTCTTCAAGACTAAGCATCATTTACTGGGGCCCCAACTTACATCAAGATTATAAATATCTGGATGCAAAGGATTCCAATTCAACTTAACAAAACAAACTATTTGACTTATTTACATTCCTGCACAGTCAGCCCAGGAGGCTACAATGAGGTTTTCACCAAGAACTTGGAAGAAATATATCACTGGCAGCTGATTCAACTGGTAATGGGTAGGAGAAGCAGGTAGAAGTCACCTTAGTGAAAAGGCTAAAAATCAGGGTTTGGAAACCTAGATAATTGACTGGTCAAGGTATTGTGATCTACTTGTATGTGAATGGTTATCTCACTGCAACCGACTAGGTTAGAAACCCCAAGGAGTAAGAATGTCAGTTATTTCCAGGGCTGCTTAGGAAAAAGTCCGTCTCAACTGAAGATTTGACGTATCAAGAGTTGGGTTAAGCCTGCCAACACTAGGCTTGCATAGGTGAGTGAACTTAGCCATGAAGGTAAGTTTTTTGTTTTTTGGTGATTTTTTTTTTTTTTTTGAGAGTTTTTTTGCTATAGGGCGCGTGCACTCGCCAGAAAGACAGAGAGAGAAAGAGAGACAGAAAGTGAGAAATCACCCCTTCCAGGGGTGATGCACACTGCAATTCCTTCTCCTCCATTCTCATCTCAGGATCTTGGGCACGCACACATACATGCCCAGCATGAGTTTAAGCCACTGGGTCTGGGACTCGAACCGTGGTCGACTATGTGGGAGTCCAGTGACATAGCCATTACGCCAACTGCTGGTCCCAAAGATAAGTTTTTAAACATATTTTTATTAACATATAATAATTATACATAATGTGGGGGATACAATATGATGTTATAGTCTAAGAACACAATGTATAATCATTTATTCAGGATAATTAGCATACCCATCTTTTGTCATTACTTGTGTTAGGAACATTTGGAATCATCCCTTTCAGTTATTTTGAGATGTATAACAAGTTGTTGCTATCTTTATTCTCCCTGTTGTATTGTTATAAAATAAAATGGTTGGTATGTTTGTTAATCAGCCTTCTAATAAATTTAATCTCCATATCAATTCCTATGCAAGGAGAGGTCAGTTAAGCTGACTTATGATCTGCTCCCCTTCATTTGGATCAATTTATAGGAAAGTAATACTCTAATATTAATGCTTGTAAACTTGTCATTACAAGTACATTTTTGTGACTTAATTTTCTAGACAGTTTCTTATATCTGCAATCTTATTTCTGTTAATCAACATCCTTCTATTCCCTTATATCCTTCTCAGTCATAGCAGTTGGTCTTCATCCTTCTATAAAGCCACTGAGAACAACAGAAAATAAGGATTCATTGCAAAGCTTCATCCTTACAGAGAGGAGAGCGCTGGGCCTTGCAGTCACTATAGGTGAGCTGTGATCAGGAAGGAGAGCTGGACGTGGAGTAAGGAGGGTGGGGGTAAAGAAGTACCTGCAAGAATGAACCAGAACCCACACCTACTCTCACAGCTTTCACCGCAATAATGTGGGTGAGCTGCAGGAGTGCCTGTTGCCACAGAGTTGCACACACCAGGCCAGGACTCTGCAGAGCTGGAGGAGGAGACTGGCAGGAACTATGGGCCTAGGGTACTGTCAGTCCAGAAAGCTGTCACTGACCTCTGCTGACTCAATTTTATGACCTGGAATAATTTTTTTTGAGCTTTCCCAAGTCATACTGACTATATGAGCAAATAATAAGCAGCTGTTCCTTCACTTCTGCATACCAAATCTGGTGCAAATTTCTTTTGTGACCAACTCTATCTAGAATCACACAGAGAAAGGAATCCCTGGACATGTTCCTCCAGATTAACTAAATCAGCACAACACAATACCAGCATACCACCTGTCACTGAGTGGCTTGTGAGAAGTTGCCTCAGTGTTTAAATCAGTATCAGCATGTAGCCTGCATGTACGTCAATTCAGAGGATTTCACCTACAAGCTCAAAGTACCCAACTGTGACTATAGGTATATCAATACTGTAAGAAAATTTCATCAGTTTCTAATGGCTAAAAATACAGATTCATGCTGAATCCAGCAAAGTTTACTAACTTGACTAATAACCATTTACCAACATACCCTCGTGCTCACACAGCATAACCAGGCTAAAGATGCCTTTTATTTTTAAAACATTTATTTATACTTAAATAAATCACAATAAATTATAATTTTGGGGCTTCCAGGTTCACGACTTGAATTGCAGTCAGCCACATGGGAGTCCAGTGCTTCAACCACCACTCCACATGCTCACCTAAAGATGTGTTTTAAATATTACCAATTAAGAGGCAATATGGACAAAAGAATATTTATTCATTTGTTCTTATAGCATCAGGAGTGAAAAGATTCTTGCCTCTATTTAATCTTTTGTGTGAAATGTTAAAAGGCAGTTTACTTGCATTTGAAGATCAAAAAAATCCCCATTAACCTTGGAAGCAACAATATTCCCTTTAATCATTACATTTTTGTAGTCACCTTGCTTAAACTGCTTTTCACACCATATAAACATGCTTATTTCTAATGAAATTGAGGGCTTGGGCCATAAAATACCACCCTCCTTGTTCTTCTCCAGTTGTCCTTTCAAAGCAGGGTCTGCTTATTCTTCACGAACCTGAAAAACAGAATGTCAGTGTATTCTGTGTAATTCCTGTGAATTTCACCAATGGAACACCTTCCCAGAATGAAGCTGAGTCCTTTCGGGGGTAAGCAAATTTTGACCAAGTCTTCCTTGACTTCAAAGGGAGGTAGGGAATTGAGACAATTATCTGCATTACAGAAAGCAGACGCTGGAAACCACCCCAAGGACGTGCCGGTCACTCTCAACTTTCGGCAGGCCTTGCCTTGCCAGTGAAGGCAGTGCCCTCTTTTGCCAACCCCACAAGGGAAAAGATTTTGCAACCACATCCCACATTTGTTCTACTGCCCCAGTACAAAGTTCTATCAGAAAAACCTTTTCCTTGTGCTTAGGATGGTTAGGGGGTTTTCATGCTTTTCTTCTGTGAATGGGAAACAATTAGTCATTGCACTGCCAAGAAAGGTTTCCCTATTCATCTCTGGCCTCTCAGAAGCAATTTCTGCTTCACTCATTTTATTCTTTGTTGGAAATAACTGTGACAAAGTCGAATGCATGGCATCTGTTTGGGAGGCCCTTTGACCTCCTGCAGCTGAGCGCAATTGCAGCATGTGTGAGAGACAGCTCCCTAAACCCATTATGTGGGCTTGCTGGGCAGCTCTGCACAGAAGACCCTAAATCCAGTGCCATAACATTTCTCTTATTGAGGCCAGGGATCAATCCACTTAACTGGACCTCTTATAGGACTGATCTTGGCAACAACGGGCATCAGTAAAAACCTCTGGCGTCTGCCGATGACTCATGCTCCTCATATTTAGATCTAAATATATTCATCATGACCAACTTTTAGTCTCTCCTTCAAAAGACACCCGTAACATGGTATTGTTGGTAATCTATCAATTTGCTTTGCAAGGTTACTAGTAATTTGTTTAAAATTAAGAAGGCCAGGCCTTCAAAACTATATATATATTTAAATTAAAAAAATTGTTCCTGTCTGTGCTAGGAACCGTGGTAAGCACTTTACAGGCACTTTATGGATGATAGGTAATATCCAATTTTTTTTTTTTTTGGTGAGGTTTTTGCTTATGGGCGCACAGAGACAGAGAGACAGAAAGCGATAAATCACCCCCCAGGGGGATGAGCATGCTGCAATCCCTTCTCCTCCGTTCTCCTCTCGGGATCTTGGGCATGCACGCACACGCGCCTGGCGTGAGTTTTAAACCACTGGGTCCGGGATGTGAATCACGGTTGACTACATGGGAGTCCAGCTACATAGCCATTACGCTAATTGCTTGTCCCCAATCTTTTTTTTTTGGAGAGGTTTTTGCTATAGGGCATGTGCGCTCGCCAGACAGAGAGAGAGAGAGAGAGAGAGAGAGACTGAAAGCGAGAAATCACCCTCCGGGAGGATGGCCACACCACAATTCCTTCTCCTCCATGCTCTTGGGATCTTGGGCACACACGCACATGTGCCCAGCGTGAGTTTAAGCCACTGGGTCCAGCATGCAAACCGTGGTCGGCTATATGGGAGTCCAGAGACATAGCCAACACGCTAACTGGTCCCATTATCCAATCTTCTTCAACCTACTTCTCCTAAATCCAGACTTCATTTAAAAACTATGTGTTTGGGGGAAAATCTTCACAAGGAAGTTGAAGTCCCCTTGACTGACCAAACATTCAGTTCAGTGTTCATTGTCACTCTATTGCTTTGCTGGTAACATTTGAACAGTGCCTCTACCATTGCATCAGATAGTCCTCTCACGAATTAGAGATACAGAAAGATCTTCTCTCTGTGTTGGGACAGAATTAAGAATAAATGCAGAGACCTAAAAATGAGGACTCTGGTATTTGTTCTCCTTCACTGCCTCAATTTTAAATATCTTCCTTCTAGGTTTACATATTGATGTGGTACAAAGACATGCACTTGTCTACCATGGGAAGAATTCATTCAGAATTTCAAGCAGATCATTTATGCTTTTAAAATAATCTTTCCTCCATGGTCTCCTGACTATTCTACACAAATGAATTAAAGCCTCAAAGGCCAGAGCCCGTAAGTTAACCTGAAATTAAACATTTGTGCTATATATAAATGCAGCATGCATCCCACTCAATGCTTAGTACTCCCATACTACCTGGACAAGTAGAATTTATTAAATATGGGAAGATTTCATAAGAACCTGTATCTTGTTACTTTTAGAAACATTTTGAAAAGAAAAACAAGAAATTTCTTGTCACATTGGTCCATGCAATGACAGGAGCTCTAAACAAGCATGCCTTAAGAGTTAGAATAGAGTTGAATATCTGCCATACCTTTTTTTCAAATTCTTTTACTTTAATCTTGAGTTTGTTGACTTGAGATTCTGCCAGCTCTGCCCTTTCCTTCGCTTCATTCAACTCATGTTGCTGCTTCTTATACTTGGAAAGATATTGATTGGCTTGTGCTTCCTATAAAAATAAAAAGAAAAGCAATACCATGCTTACCTAGTTCTTTCTTTTTTCTGCTCTGACACAAAGTAAAAAATATGAAAAGAATTTAAACTTCTGACTATTGAATGGAGTATCATATTTTTGGTATGATATTTAGAAATTCAGGCTTTCTAGCAGGCACACGATCCATTTTTATCACTGTTGTTCCCTGGAAATTCAGAACCTGCTTGGCACTTTCCAGCAACTGCACTTAGTTCAGCTGACACAGACTTGGTACATGACAGCATAACCACTGGTGTCTGTTTTGTAATCGATTCAACACCTCGTTCTACCTCTGAGTAGAGGGAACTTAACTTTAAAATTATATGCATCAAGGGAACCAGTAGTTAGCGTAATGGCTATGTCGCTGGACTCCCACGTAGTCGACTGCGGTTCGTGTCCCGGACCCGGTGGCTTAAAACTCACACCAGGCGCGTGTGCGTGCATGCCCAAGATCCCGAGAGGAGAATGGAGGAGAAGGGATTGTGGCGTGACCATCCCCCCTGGGGGGTGATTTCTCACTTTCTGTCTCTATGTCTCTCTCTGTCTGTCTGGCGAGCGCACGCACCCTACAGTGAAAATCTCTTAAAAAAAAAAATAAAAAATAAAAATAAATAAAAAAAATTATATGCATCAACAGGTAGTTATTAGATGTACCAGTGTTTTGCCCAGATCATTTCAATAATTTGATTCAACTGCAATTCAAGAGATGACAGGCCTAAACAATATGCAAGACATTTTCAAAAGGCTCATAGAGGCTCCAAGAGTAAAACGTGACCCATGTGGGAAGACTCTGGGTTTCCACCAGGAGACCACTGAGTAAGCTAGGCATATGAGCACCCATGACCCATGGCTGGCTGAAGCTGTGGGTAGATTGCAGCATTGATACCTTGTTGGGGGTGCTTTCTGTGTGTGTGTCTTTCTTGTTCATGGAGAATATGTATTATTTAAATAAATAAATAAACAAAAACAAAAAAACAAACCTGCATGGATGTCAAAAACTTGGCACCCAAATAAACTGGTACTGTAATTCCATTTTCCATGAACTTTTTGAATTATTCTCTTATCACCCACACTCCATGTGGCTACAGATACTAACCCAGGGCAGGCAAGGACATTTAAAGTGGTGATGGTTTTGTCCACAGCCACATTCCGGCTCAGCAGGCACAAGTACTGTGACCCAAGTGTGGTTGCCTAAGGTTTGGGCATGAGGGAGGCTCTGGGGTGACTACCCGGCTGAACACATGCCATCCCTACAGGATACCCTGCTCTCACTTGGCTTATTTCTCATCACATGCATTTTTGGGTGTAATCACAAGGTCACGGGAGAGAGCACAGGCTTCCTGGGGGGAAAAGTAGCACATATTTTACAAGTAATAATTCTTACTAAAGAAAAAATAGAGCATGAGCAGACTAAGAGGTTCTCTCCGACAAGCTGCTCCTTCAACTCAGGACCACACATCTCTAATAATCAAAAGGTAGTGGCTGGGAAACCCAAGGCCCTGTAATTCCCACCCCTTCCCTGTAGGGACTTACTGCTGCCTCCACTTGCTGCCTGTAGCTTTGCACTTTCACCTGAAGTTTATCCATCAGAGTCTGCATCCTACTCAGGTTTTTCTTGTCTTCCTCTGCCTGAAACACATAGGTATGTATGAGAAGGTGATTTGAAGGATTCAGCAGTCTACATTGGAAGTAGGCTCAATGTGAAGAGATAAGGGGGGGGGGGCCTCCATAAAACACAGCTCTGAGCAATGAGTCATCTCTCTTCATCCACCCCAGCATTCCACGACCTGAGCTAAAATAAGTTAGAGCCATGAGGTTCAATTTGGTCTTTAATTCTGCCATCCCAAATCTGCCTGAGGTTTTCTCAGTAAGAACAAAGTGCATTATAACAAACACGTTACCTCCTAATCAAAACTCACCCTTGAACTTTCTAATTGACCTTTGGCTTTGGATCATGAAACTATGTGAAAGGTATATTTTCTGCAATTCTGGCATGGCGTCAGCAGAGAGAGAAAATTCCACAAGCTATGGGACCTTGGTGTGCCCATTCTCGTTGCCTCAATCACAGTCCAGGCTTGGACTGGATAAAGGAAATCTGGGAGAACAGTGCTTCTTAAAAAAAAAAATAAAAAATAAAAATAAATAAAAAAAATTATATGCATCAACAGGTAGTTATTAGATGTACCAGTGTTTTGCCCAGATCATTTCAATAATTAATTCAACTGCAATTCAAGAGATGACAGGCCTAAACAATATGCAAGACATTTTCAAAAGGCTCATAGAGGCTCCAAGAGTAAAACGTGACCCATGTGGGAAGACTCTGGGTTTCCACCAGGAGACCACTGAGTAAGCTAGGCATATGAGCACCCATGACCCATGGCTGGCTGAAGCTGTGGGTAGATTGCAGCATTGATACCTTGTTGGGGGTGCTTTCTGTGTGTGTGTCTTTCTTGTTCATGGAGAATATGTATTATTTAAATAAATAAATAAACAAAAACAAAAAAACAAACCTGCATGGATGTCAAAAACTTGGCACCCAAATAAACTGGTACTGTAATTCCATTTTCCATGAACTTTTTGAATTATTCTCTTATCACCCACACTCCATGTGGCTACAGATACTAACCCAGGGCAGGCAAGGACATTTAAAGTGGTGATGGTTTTGTCCACAGCCACATTCCGGCTCAGCAGGCACAAGTACTGTGACCCAAGTGTGGTTGCCTAAGGTTTGGGCATGAGGGAGGCTCTGGGGTGACTACCCGGCTGAACACATGCCATCCCTACAGGATACCCTGCTCTCACTTGGCTTATTTCTCATCACATGCATTTTTGGGTGTAATCACAAGGTCACGGGAGAGAGCACAGGCTTCCTGGGGGGAAAAGTAGCACATATTTTACAAGTAATAATTCTTACTAAAGAAAAAATAGAGCATGAGCAGACTAAGAGGTTCTCTCCGACAAACTGCTCCTCTAACTCAGGACCACACATCTCTAATAATCAAAAGGTAGTGGCTGGGAAACCCAAGGCCCTGTAATTCCCACCCCTTCCCTGTAGGGACTTACTGCTGCCTCCACTTGCTGCCTGTAGCTTTGCACTTTCACCTGAAGTTTATCCATCAGAGTCTGCATCCTACTCAGGTTTTTCTTGTCTTCCTCTGCCTGAAACACATAGGTATGTATGAGAAGGTGATTTGAAGGATTCAGCAGTCTACATTGGAAGTAGGCTCAATGTGAAGAGATAAGGGGGGGGGGGACTCCATAAAACACAGCTCTGAGCAATGAGTCATCTCTCTTCATCCACCCCAGCATTCCACGACCTGAGCTAAAATAAGTTAGAGCCATGAGGTTCAATTTGGTCTTTAATTCTGCCATCCCAAATCTGCCTGAGGTTTTCTCAGTAAGAACAAAGTGCATTATAACAAACACGTTACCTCCTAATCAAAACTCACCCTTGAACTTTCTAATTGACCTTTGGCTTTGGATCATGAAACTATGTGAAAGGTATATTTTCTGCAATTCTGGCATGGCGTCAGCAGAGAGAGAAAATTCCACAAGCTATGGGACCTTGGTGTGCCCATTCTCGTTGCCTCAATCACAGTCCAGGCTTGGACTGGATAAAGGAAATCTGGGAGAACAGTGCTTCTCATCTGCTCCATAGTGCCTCTGACTTTCTAAGGAGAAACGATAGGCCACTACCTACCCTCCCCCACCCCCTTTAACTTTAACTGGAGTATTTCCACCCTGGAGCTGTTAAACCTTCTGAAGGGACCCAGCCTGGTAGCACAGTGATAAACCTGAACTGCAGGGTGGGAGGCTACAGGGCTGACCATGGGTTTGGATCCCTGAGTCATGTGCGCATATGCTCAAGATTCTGACAAGCTGGAGCACTGGGGAAGGCGGATCATGGTATGATGAGACCTTGTCAAGGGTGCTTCTCTCTCATGTGTGTGAACATGCTATCATGAATAAAATAAAAATGAAAAAATAAAACTTAAAAAAATTAAACTCCCCCCAATATGTTTCAATCTACTACGGGTTCACAAACAGATTTAATCAATAACCACCTATGCTGCTCTTTTGCAATGCCTTCATTTTACCCATTCCATTACTTGTCAACTTTGGTGGCTTTGATGGTCCCCCCCCCACGCTGACCTTCCACCATTCCCCCCACACACCCTCCCATTATTACTGGTCTGGTCTCCTCCTTTCCCCCTCAGCTTCCCTGCTTGTCCCCTGCACCCTGCAGGCTTAGCCAAGCTGCTGCCAACAGTTGGAATGCCCTTTACCTTGACATACAATCTGACAGCAGCTAATTCATTACCAATTTTAAGCTTACTGAGGCAGGGATAAATATGTAGAGAACTTGGTTGAGGAACTTAGACAGTCTATATTTTAAATTAAATCCATGTTTTCCTCTATCCCTCTACCTCTCAGATTTATGAAATGTGATGATTCATAGCATAATGTGTTTACAGTAAGTTCTAAAATCAACATGGGTTTAATTGGTAATAACCAATTTACTCAGGAGAGAAGTGGTAAAATAGGGCATACAGAAAGAAGAAGAAAAAAAAAAACCTGAAAAAGCTAGCAGTGGTTGCTGATGTTAATGATGTTCCTCCCTCTTGGGAAGACAAAGCCTTTGATGTTAGGCCAAGTTCACATCTCAGCTCTGAGGCATTAAGTAACTGTGGTAGTCCTGGTTGGGCACTGCTTGGATTGCTCTTCAAGAAAAGAACTTTCTGCTCAGCAGATACTGATTCATAGCATAATGTGTTTACAGTAAGTTCTAAAATCAACATGGGTTTAATTGGTAATAACCAATTTACTCAGGAGAGAAGTGGTAAAATAGGGCATACAGAAAAAAAAAAAAAAAAAAAAAACCTGAAAAAGCTAGCAGTGGTTGCTGATGTTAATGATGTTCCTCCCTCTTGGGAAGACAAAGCCTTTGATGTTAGGCCAAGTTCACATCTCAGCTCTGAGGCATTAAGTAACTGTGGTAGTCCTGGTTGGGCACTGCTTGGATTGCTCTTCAAGAAAAGAACTTTCTGCTCAGCAGATACCTGACAGTCTCCAACTGCAGTGCCTTTGGGATCTGCCACAGCATCAGCGCTGTGGCCACAGTTCCCAGGCAGCCCTCGGGCAATACTCACACACTGCAGAGTGACTGTTCCTGAGCAGCCTGTGCAGGAGACTTGCAGAGGCTTACCCTTCACTCTACACTTCTTCCTATCCTCCGCCCTTTAGCCTTTCCCCTCTGGGGTGTGTGACTTGCACTGCTGCACTGTCTGGTGTCTTTCCCCACCTGGTCCTCCTTGCTGGCCCCTTTATCTTTTGCAGGCATTGCCTCCAATCAATCTCCTCTACTTCAAACTCCATCCTGGCATTTGGTTTGGGAAACCACCCAACACAATGACTTAACCAAATTTTGTTTTCTTTCCCCTGAAAAGAAAGAATTTATATTCTTGACTAGACTTGTAAGGATGAAATAACAGCTACACACAGATTCCTGTGGATGGAGAGTGGAAAGTAGAGAAACTGTCTTTACTCTAGAAGAATTACAAGCTCCCAATCCTTTGTCCTGCTTTATAGCACATTTTTTAAAGTTTTACTTATTTCTTCTACAAGAGAAAGGGAATGAAAGATGAAAGCAGCCCCACCAGGGTCCTTATGCCAAAATCCACCCTCAGCCTCTGCCAGCCCAGATCACAGATAGGCATACTTGTGTGCCTGGTGTGAAGAGGGAGGCTCAGGGACATAAACTCAGGACCTTCCAAGTGGGTCTAGTTGTGTTACCACTGTACCACCTTTCTGGCCCCTATGACACATTCTTCTAGGCACTCGAGAGAAAACAGAATGAATTTCAAATGCTAGAGGGACATAAAAAGAAGTAGGATGCTGCAGAGAGGGGTTCTCTTTCCAGTGTCCAAAATCTTCTCAGATGATTTCTCCCAAGAAAAGAGAATTATATTTGTGTCATGTCCAAAATTATTTTTATAAGCACCTAAGAATGCACTATCACAAAATCCCCTGCTTCACAGTCCTGATGGTGATTTTGATGTGAGAGAACAGACTGAATTGACTTACCATCGACCTTGAATATTTCAAAACCAGGTATTGATATCAAGAGATGTGGAAGGCTTTTAATATCTCTTTAAACATACACGGTATAGCCTAATATCTCACATAAAATAGGTGGTCAATAGGTATTATCTGATTTGATGGCAAATCATTGCATCATTGAATAGGTATAGCCTGAGCATTGTGCAGACACCTGGAAAAAATTAATCAGACCACCTCCATACTGGAACATGAGAAACAATAAGAGTTTTACAATGAAGAAACAAAGATAAGACACAATAAAACAAGAATGCATTCCTTGGGCCGATGAAAACCAAAAAAGTATGGCTTTGGTGTTTTGCTCTATAATAAATGTTGTTTATAGAAGAAAATAAGAATAATCAGTGGGGACATAAAAAGAAAACCTCAGACACTATTAATAAGTGGCATTTCACCCCATCAACATGGATGGCTCCCCCACTTTCCTCAAAAGGAGAGTAGAATGACTAACTTTCATGCTCTCCAGGTGTTTACTCAGCCACACCGCCAGGCGCTCATTCCTCAGTAGCTTTGATATCCCTAGCAGAAGTGTCAGACTAACTCATCTTAGAAAAAGAACTACGTGTTCAGTAGGAAAGGAGCTGTGCAAGGAGCTCATTTCATCTTAATTAGCCCAGGATGATGCTTCTGAAGTGCTCTGCTCTCTTATCAACACCACCCTTCCTGCAGCAAGGGGAGAAAACTTTGACAACTCAGCCTTCGGAACCAGAGTCAGGACCAGCAGATCTTGCATTAGTACTTTCAAAGGAGTTGTACAAAGGAGTGCCTGCCTGCAAAGAGGTTGCCTTTTTATTGGAATAAACTATATGGGGAGTCTTTAAATAGTTCAGAAAACATGTGTACTATGAAAAAACTATGTATGCATTTCTACCTATTTTGCACTAAAGTAAAATTGTGCTTTCATTCCATTCTTCCATAAACTTTCTGAAGACCTCTCATATTGTGCAGTGTGAGAGCGCTGGAAAGTGACTTGTGACATCTGTATTCAACAACTGAGATCTACGCAACTACTCTGTTTCAGTTGGAAACTAGCCCTGGAGTGGAACTAAACTGTGCCCTGCCACCCAGGAACTCGTCGACTCCATTGGAAAGAAAAGGGAAGAAAGGGTAGAAAGTGTAATTGTAGGTGAAGGATTCTATTTTTATTTTAGAAATGCAGTAATTACTGGGTGGTCGGAAAAGTCATGACACATTTTTGCATAGAAAAAAAATACGTCATGACTTACCTGACAACCTAATGCTTGTAAGAAGTCTGCCCACCTCCTCTCAATGATTTGTTTGAGACCAGTGTTAGTCAACGGGTTCGATTCAGAAGGCCTTTATTATTTGCTGTCTCCACTTGGCACCAGCAGCAGAGTCCTCAGTGGCCTTTAGTGTTTGTACACCAGAAAACATGAATGGAAATGTACCCTGCTCTGATATTTAGTCAGCGCCCCACGTAAGACACTGGCAGGGTAGCCAACTGCATCTCTGCCAGTCACTTCATTTACACACTGTTCTCACTCAGCTTCTCACAGGAAGGCATCTTTCTGAAAGCACTGCAAACACTATGTGTGGAAAAAATAGGGATGATATAAATAGCTTTTCACTTCTAATTGCAACTTTCCACTCACATTTTGTTTCCTGAGCACTCTGAAGAGACCAACCCAAACCACAAATAGCACAGAAGCCCTGAGTGAGTGAGTCAGCGTCCACTGCTGAGGGGTCACTGCAGGAGTCCCAGAAGGCCATTACAAGCATGAAGAGGCACATTTCTGCAGGAAAAAGCCCAGGCATGTAGACAGGATGTGGCTTCCTAGAATACCTGAGAGGTCAGCTCTTTGATGCATCGTTCAAGTCTGCGGGTTTCCCTCTGGGCCTCCACATTGTGATGGAGTTCACCCTCCAGTTCACCTTCCAGTTCACGAACCTGCAACCAGACCAAGACCTCAGACCACATGCCGGTAGCAAGGCTGGCACTTATGCATCAACTGGCATGATCGTTTGAAATCGAGTGAAACAGTCAAAAGAGGACATGTCACTCTCTTTCTGGTAGTGGTTAAATAGGGCAACCTCTCTGAGAAAACTTCCTTGCCAAAAGTTGAGTTGAACTATATAAATTCATAAAAACACTGTTTAGATGCTGAAAGATGTGAAAAGTTCATACTTGCAGGTGATAAGCTTCCCTTTTTAGATTAAAAATCACATCCATATGTGTACACATGAACGTAAATGTGTATATAAAGTACATTCTATGTAACACACTTTAGGGCTTTGAGCAATATGCTATCTAATTGGAATCTTCTTTCTCCATGTTCAGCTCTGACTCTAAAGAAGTCAGACTCTCAGCCTAGGTCACACACAGCCTGATAATCCTACTTCTGAGAGAGCTATCATGTGGACAAATGGCCTGTAGTCTTAGAGAGTTACACAAACATAGTTAACATTACATTCATTCAACAAAGATGTCTACCACTCACCACACCCCAGTGGTAGGAACACAGCAGTTCACGAAACAGACACATGTCTTTCCTTGCATAAGCATGCATCCAATGAGAGGAAACAGACAAAGTAGAACACTGAGTATTTTTGACATGATGAATGCCATAGAGACACCATGGGAAAGGGAGTAGGGACTGGACAGGGAAAGGTTGTTGGCTGCTCTGCCTGCGAGGTGCTCTCCATACAGATATGTAGGCCTCTTTTCCAGCCTCTCCTTGTCAAATGTTACCTTTTAAACTAGGGAATCCCAAAGTCCTGAGACTTGTATGTGCCTGGTACTCAGATCCTACCACTTACTACCCTCACCTCCTTGTGGCCTGTTGATCCATACTGCTCTCCTTGTTCTTCCCAGAGGATTGTTAAGGCAAGGTCAGCAGCTGTGCAAGTTTCTTGTAGATGAAGGCCGTCGATTCTATTGTTTCCTGGGGTACATCTATCCTATCGTAACTTAACACATAGTTTTGTCTGTTGGGACATGACTGCTATTTTAAGTGCTTGTTAAAAAAATAAAATTTAAGTGATCCAAACACCTCAGAAAGGGAGAAGCTGCTTTACTAAAGCAAATCTCAGAAGTCATATAAGTTCACTTGTAAATAATTCTATATGTGATTCTGACAGATAACTGCATTATCATGTTTTTAAGAAAAAGAACCATAATTCCTTATTATCTAATATTCAGGAGCTCAGTGCTACTATGTTGTCATTGGTTCTAGGCCTAACAGTATACAAATCACAATAGAAAATAAAATCCTGTAACTTTAAATTTGAGTTGGAAAAACCAGTATTATGCATATATCATTTAGGAAAAAACTGCATAAATTCCTTGATTTGTATACCTATGTGCTTTTTCTCTTACACTAAAAAATCTTGGTTTTTGTATATGTTGTTGGATAAATAATTGTATTATTAGTCTTATTTCTAGTAGCAATAAGATATTATGTCAAAACTATAAATGCAGTTTGCTTTTTTTGCTTTTTTCTATTTATCTCCTCTCCTTATAATATATGCCATGAGGAGGGAAGAAGCTATATAGTCAAAACACCATGTTTTTTTTTAATATATTTTATTTTGTTTTAATTTCTTTTATATTTTCAATTACTACACATCACTTAGCTTGTAAAGTGAATTTTCCCAACATGAATACACTTCACATCAGTTCAGATGAGAGTACTATACATGTTATCATCAGCAGATATTAATCCATTTCTGTGTCCCATAAATGTCTTGCCTTTCTATTTCTCTCCTTAATGTCTTTCCTCACACTCTCCTTCTCCCACCCTGTCCCCACACTGTCTCCAGTATCTGTAACAATTTTCCATGTTTCTTTATCCTCTTATCTTTCAGTTTCCACCATAGAGTGCAGACAGTTGGCATATATTAAGTGGAGACATACAATATCTCTCCTTCATAGCCTGGCTTGCTTTACTTACCAGTAAATCTTCCATATTCAACTATGTTTAAAAGTCACTGAAATAATTCTTTGTATGTGCTTTATGTCCCCAACTTGATACATGTTTAACTTTGTTTACTTTCACTGGTGTTAAAATTTTAGGGATTGCTAGAGTTTTTCTCTTTGACTTAAACTTGTTTTTTTAATTATAAAGCATGTAAATTATTTATATGGTTCTTCAATCAAAACAACTAAACAAAGTACCTTCCAAAGGTCTAATTTCCATCTCTTTGTGCTCCTCCTATGGGTAGCCATTTTTGCTAGTTTTTAATTTATCCTGCCACAGTTCCTTTTTTAAAATATAAAAAATTAAACATTTCTTAATATTTCCCCCTTTCTTGCACAAAAGAAAATGTAGTCTCCACACGGCCTTTGTCTTTTACCATCATCACACTGCTAGACCTGATATCCAGGACATATTCTAGAGCTCTTCCCAACTCCTTTTTAATCAGCATGACTGTGTGGAAGTACCATAAATGTACATTGGAATTCCACTGTTGTACCATAAAGGTCCAAAAGCAATACCTTATTTTTCAGAGGCCCCTTTGAACCATCAAATTCCAGTTAAATATTCTTTCTATTTTTGTAACATTTATCATATGCCCTGTATATAGTCATTGAAATTGATTCAATAATTTCTAAAATCATGTTTTTTACTTAAGTTGTTAAGTTCCCTGAAGGCAGATACTATATCATTTCTGTCAACCTTTACTAAATCTTCACTAAGTCTTTTTTGATCCTGAATTTACTTGTTTTTCCTCTCCTTTCTCTGGCTGTTCGGAAATAGGCATTCTATGCAGAGGAAATAACAGAAGCAAAGGCACAGAAGCAAGACTGCAAGGATGTGTTTGGAAACAGCAGGTAGCCCCAGCTATGGGGAGCTCAGAGCTGGTGCGGGTGGCAGGGAAGAATGCAGTCACAGGGAAGGCAGATTTCATCCAGTCCATGCAAAATCCTATTTGGTGGCCCTGGGTCAAACAAGAAATTAATAAACATACTGAGATCTAATATTCTTTTATTTGTTTGTTTGTTTTTCATAGGGTGCATGCACTTGTCAGAGAGAAACAGAGACAATGAGAGGGAAAGTGAGAAATCGGCCCCCTGGTAGGGGGAATGGGCATACTGTAATCCCTTCTCCTGGGATTTTGGACACACACATATACACACACACTGGGCATAATTTTTAATGCCACTGGGTTTGGAATTTGAACTACAGTTGGCCAACCTCCTGCACTTTAACCACTATACCACCTGCTGGCCCATGAGATCTGATACCCTTAAAGATCTGAAAGTGCTAGAAGAAGTGATGAGGAAGGCAGGACATATTTGGTGTGACCCTCCAGGACAACAGACCTTGAATCTGAGGTTGTCAAGCCCATGATTACCCAGAATAACACCTACCCTGGATTCCAGTTTCTGGATTTGCTTTCTAGTCCCTGTCAGCGCAGTTTGCTCGGCTTCGTCCAGTCTTTTTTTCAAGTCTTTAATTGTCTGCTCCATATTCTTTCTCATCCTCTCCAAGTGGGCATTGGTGTCCTGCTCCTTCTTCAGTTCTTCTGATATGTTTGCTGTCTAGAAATGAGGGAAAGGAACTAAGCTAATCCAGCAGCCAATTGATTTTAACATTTCTGCCCATGATTTTCAGCTCCTGGTCTGCCTGGATGCCATGCCTTGCCTCTCTATATTTAAACTCTTCCCATTTTGCTCTTCCTAACCTCTGCCATTATATAGTTTATTAACAATAAGGCAGTAGAGATAGTAAGAGCTACAGGAGAGATTGTGGTGAGGAAATGGTGGAAACCATCTGCAGTTGAAGTATGTCACAGCACCTGTATTGCACCCTGCATGCATGCTTTGAAAGATCATATTGTTGGGGGCCAGCAGGAGGTGTGGTAGTTAAGGCACTAGACTTCCACGTGGCCAAAAGTGGTTCAAGTCCCAGACCTGGAAGCAAGCTTTTTGACTTTCCTCTCTCTCTGGACAAATTGAAAAATGATAAATAAGAAAAAAATTAAAATTAATTCCTTTAGAGAAAGAAAGACCTTATCGTGAGACATAAAGATAATTAAACACAAGTAAGAAATTATAAAATAAGATAAAAAGGACCAGGCACTTGACTGTGCTGTTCAAGTCCCAGATATGGTGACTTGAGAAATGAGGTGGGCCCATGTGCATTTGTGCCTAAAATCCTGAAAGGAAGTAGAAATGAAGGAGAGGGCACTGTGGCATGATAGTCCCCCAGGAAGGTGCTTCCTCTCTTTCTCTCTCTCCAACTAGCACACATGCCTTCTGGCAAATTAAAAATATTGGGCTGTTGGGAAAGTCATGATGAATTTTCTATGTTTGTCTATGCAGAAATGTGTCACAACTTTCCAGAAAACCCAATAGTAGCAATAAGATTATAAAATGAAAGAAAAATAACCAATTGAAATAATGGTTTTTAATTGGCCAGGGCACCAATTTTGTTTGTTTGTTTGTCTGTTGCTAGAAGGCATGTGCTCTCATCAGAGGAGAGGGAGAAAGAAAGGGGAGGGAGAGAGAGAGAAAGAAAAAGTGAGAAATCACCCTCTAGGGAGAATGGCCATGATGCAGTCCCACCTCTTCCAGTCTCCTCTTGGGACTTGGGGCATGCACACGCGTGCACTTGGCATGATTTTCAAGCTGCCAGGTCAGGGACTTAAACCACAAAGTTGGCCATGTGGAAACCAGTGATTTAACCTCCATGCCACCTTCTGGCCCCAAACGAGGGCACCACTTTGAAAGTACTAGAGTATCACTTATTTATTACAGTAACAGTTGTCATGTGATATACCGGCAAAGGTATGGAGGAGTGCCTACAAAAAACCTTTTCACGTCTCACTTCTATAATTCTGTGAGTCACTACTGCAAACAAGTTTAGGCTCCAGGAATTTGGCAGTAACAGATGCTCTCATTGCCAATAATCTGGCACAAGGAAGGTTAACTGTGAATCCTGCTCTTGGCTTTGGCTCTGTGTGCGAGGCCTTGGTATCTCAATGCAATTATTAAGACCTGTTTCATGAATCTCTCAGTGCATTTAATGTAAGAACACAGCCCTTCAGCCAAGACTTCTCTGTCTGTCAGGTTACCAACCATCTGTAGAATTTAAGTGTGAGACTTCCGTGCAGGTGGTGAGGGCAAAGAATGCATTACATTCTGCTACGTGAGGCTGAGACTCTGAACTAAACCATTGGAGAACTAGAAGGTGGGGGGAAGAAGTAATAAGTTCACTTTCCAACATGGTCAAGAAATTCTTATCAAGGCAAGCAAATTAAGCAAGTAGTATCTTCATAATGCATGACTGTGTAAATTTACCAAGCAAGAGGTAAAGTTATTCTTTTCTTAACCTATGTAGATTTTCATAAATGTTGCACGTATTATTTCTCCCTTGGCCACAAAAATTCTTCAGGCTTTTCACCTCGTTTTCATCAGTGAGCAGAAGTATGTTGATATGAAATGTCTGAGTGATAGGCATGCCTCCACATTTTCAGAGGGGGCTGGGTTCTGGCAGTGACTCTGCTGGCTGGGATGTGGTACAAAGATTTGGCTTGCTTCCCTAAGTGCTAAATAACTTGAGCAAATATAGACACAAGCTCTTCACCTCTTTTGAATTTTAAAATGATGAATATAAATTCTAATTGAATGTCCTGTCTCCCCACTCTCCATAGCCTTTTTAGCAAGGGGATCAGTTTCCTTTTTTGCACAGCAGGGTCAGGGGTGGTGCAAGTGGTTGTGCAGTTGATGGGGAAAAGGTGGAATCAATCCCAAATCACACTTAGTAAAATCTGGGGCTTTCAGAACTGGGTCCCCCCTACACATGCACAAACCTCTCTCCCTCTACTCTCCCTCCACTAATATTTTTTTGTCTTGTGACAATCTTCTGCTGCCATGCCTCACTTCCTTTTTTATAATAGTGTACATGTGTGCATGTGAGGGAGAGGGAGAGGGAGAGACAGCACCTTTGATAGGGTTTCATTATGCCACAATCCTCTTTCCCCAGCCCTCAGCTCCTCAGGATCCTGGGCACCTATACGCACACCTATACACCAGTGTGTTTTCTGGTGACCCAGGTATCAGCCCTGTGGCTTCTAGCACTGCAGTTTAGCATGCTACAGATTGTGCCACTTAGGCTGATGCCATGTCTTCTGAGAAGTGTTGCACTTGCCCATAGGAGGTGCCCGGAGGGTCGACAACCTTTCTCCAGTTCCCATGAAGGTGCAATCAAGACTGGCACTCAGCCCTGAGCTCAGCATCATTTAGGGAAAAGTGCACTTTCTTCAACAACTTTAAATTTGCAAATAAAGAAGGAATACCATCCTTAAAACCCTTCTTCACCTAACTGATTTTGCTAATCAAGAAGTAGCATTTGTTGCAAAAATATATGTATGTAAGTGAAACAAGCATTTTTTCCAGATTGTTGTCTTAAAACCATTACAGAATATATGAAACTAGCTACCTGTAAAGAAACACAGGGGGAACCAGCAGTTAGTGTAATGGCTATGTCGCTGGACTCTTACGTAGTCGACCGCGGTTCGCGTCCCAGACCTGGTGGCTTAAAACTCACGCCGGGCGCGTGTGCGTGCGTGCCCAAGATCCCAAGAGGAGAATGGAGGAGACTGAGATTGCGGTGTGACAATCCCCCTTGGGGGGTAATTTCTCGCTTTCTGTCTCTCTGTCTCTCTCTGTCTGTCTGGCGAGCGCACGTGCCCTATAGCGAAAACCTCTCCAAAATAAATAAATAAATAAATAAAATAAAGAAAGAAACATAGAAATTCTTTCTAGACACTAGATGTATCAAATCAAAAGTAGAAAGTGGATTAATTGAGAGAGAAAATGGATTAATATGTGTGTGTGTGTATATATATATATATATATAGAGAGAGAGAGAGAGAGAGAGAGAGAGAGAGAGAGAGAGAGGACTTGTTTTCATATGTTTTTTTTTTCACTATAGGGCATGTGCACTTGCCAGACAGAGAGAGACATAGAGACAGAAAGCGAGAAATCACCCCCCAGGGGGGATGGTC